TTTAGGCAACGTAGCACGCTTCACAAAATCGGTGAATTTTACCTTTCTGATCACGGTCAGCAACCTCAGTTCAGCCGAAATTCAATTTTGGCTCGTAGCAAAGCAAAAATAAGGGATTGGAAAATAATAAGTTGCTTTTTTATATATATGTGTCAAACCATTCTCACTGACAAAAAATGAAGGAAAATTATTTTTGGTCCCGAAGTCGAGTGGACCGCTTTTAGCGGGACTGCCACTTAATTTCCCGTGAAGCTATTGCAAAATTCATTTCATTGCGCGAACAAAAAACAGTGTCCTGGCGACCACAAAGGTACAGCGCAAGTATGGTAGTATTTTGCAGCATAAGTTTGCGCTTTTGAAGACACGTTTTATGAATTGTGTCAGTTAATTAGGCTATTTGAGATTTTCAAAAAACGCAAAAGTATTGTTATTTGTTTAAGACAAATAAGACTTCACCGAGTTGAAACTTCAATATTACTTAGTTTCCAATTGTATCATCTCAACATTAAAAAAACACTTAAGTACCTTTAGCTATGTTGAAGTTCATCTAATCGCCTCTAGCCAAGTCCAAGGTAACATCATCACCGATGAGTACAAATGGAGCCCAGTGCTTCACTTCGCTAAATTTCTCAGACTCTCTCAGACACTTCATGGCGTGGTTCAGAGATTCACTGGCACTTCTTCCTTCTGCTAAGTGAAGGTAGAAACTCTTCATGAACTCCTGAGTGGCATAGTCGTCAATTGCCCACAGAGACACAACAACAGAACGAACACCGGCACCCAGGAAGGCTCGTGCAATGCCAACCACACCCTCAGCCTTAATCTCACCACGGCCACTATGGCAACAACTTAACACAACCAGTCCTGCTCGCATTTGAACTCTCATCACGTCACTCATTCGTAGCACGAAGTCTTCTTCAACAGGGATCTGAGATGCTCGTGTAGGGTTTGGTGCCAAAGCAATTTCTCCTGTTTCCATTCTACCATGTGCTGCAATGTGCACCAATGCAACTGAGGGGAGTTTTCTCATCACTTGAGCTTTTGTTGCCTCTTTTCCAGTGAGGGGAAAAGTGTTGAGTATTTTCCCAATCATCTGTACTTCCATCTTTGCAAATGGCAGCTGGTGTAACCTTTTACCACGATAACAAACTTGCTCTACGCATGGATCTCCCACAAGCAGCGCCCCAGACTTCTTGTGGTAATCTGGTGAACAATCTCTGATCAATTTCAAACTATTCA